CATCCCTATCTTCCAAACTCCCTCCTGCCAATGCCCCCACCACTTCCCACCCATGGCACCTTGTCCCCCAGGGATGTGGCCGTGGGGCTTACCAGGGGAGAGGAGGAGCCTGGGGCAGCAGTTCCCCATGGTTCCCTCTGCCGTGGGTATGCAGGGTGGGGAGACATGAACAGTGCTACCACACTGCACTAGCTCTCCCCAGTAATCCCTACAGACATGTCCCTGGTGCCATGGGGGGAGAGGCTGGGATAGTGGCAGGAAGAGGCCAGGTTTGGGGGACTGGAATGGACACCACCTCCTACCCCAGGACTCCCAGGCTGGATTGCACAACTGCTCCAGCTGGGATGGCCTGCGGACTGAGAGTTTGAGACTCCTGATGTAGAACAGCAGCACACAACCTCGCCTGGGAGTCTGTGGAAGGTATTTCCCCCAAAAGACCATGGCCCCATTGTGGAATTATAGCCTGTCCAGACTACGTTCTTTGGGGCAGGGACTGTTTTTCTACATGATCTAGGGCAGTGGGGTCCTGGTCCATTTCAATCCAGAAAATCAGATACCAAACAATAACTATACATCAAAAGCAGAGACCACCTTTGGCAGGAAAATCTCCACCTATGCAAACTGCTGAGATGGGTAAATCTAGGATAGAAATACAGAAATAAATCCAACACCTTGCTTGCAAAATGCTTTTGGCATCTTAAGCCTTTCACTTTGCAGTCTGAAATCTTATGCAGCCTTTGAGAAGGCAGGAATTTTCTGAGAGTTTAGTATCAGCTTGTGAAGAGTGGGAGGGATTCTGCTCTTTTCTGGACATCCCAGCCATTCAGTTAACTAAATTGCCTGTAAGGATTAAAACCACAGACAGTGAGTCCTAGAGAGTCCCCAGAAATGCCAGGAAAGCTGGAAGTGAGTTGGCAGAAAGCCAGGAGAGCCAATGAAAACAGTGTATAGGTTTTAAATTGGAAGCAGTGGTCTTCCTGTGCCAGTCTGTGTGTGACCAGAGGAGATCTGGGAGACATGAATTGAGACAGGGAGCCAGGCATGAAATTTCCAGTGACATCCATGCCTTGGGAAGGACACAATCTTGGAATAACAAATATGTGAGTAGAACAGGGAATGGTTAGTCAGATATGATCAGGTTATTTTCTTTATTTTGGAGTTTGTTGGACTTCTCTGTGCTGAGTCCATGGCCTTCCCCCTTACACTGTAATTTTCCATACTGAATGCCAGGGAAACGATTGCCTGCATTTTAATCTTTCTTTTTTTAATTGCTCTGTAACACCTAGTAACCAAGTAATGTTCATCAATTATCGGGTAGTTGAGTCGACTACTTGCATTCTCCCCCTTGCTGCCTCTATATCAGATACAGCAAAGAAGGGAAGGGAGAAACAGGAGTCAATGTCGCTTGCCCGCCCCCCAAGCTACTGCCTCTCAGTCCCAGCTCGCGCCAGGTCCAGGAGCTACCCCTGCCGGTGTGCCCGGCTCTTACTACATTTCAACTGCAGAGCTGCAGAGGGGGTACCCCCAAGCTACTGCCTCTCAGTCCCAGCTCGCGCCAGGTCCAGGAGCTACCCCTGCCGGTGTGCCCGGCTCTTACTACATTTCAACTGCAGAGCTGCAGAGGGGGTAAGCACCTTCCCTTATTGACTAATTGTGTAGTCGATACAAACGGTATCCAATTATCTGCCTCTTAACATCCTTAGTTGCAATGGCAGCACACGCAGCGCAACACCCACCCTTGAAATGCACCATGCAGAGATCAGTGTCTGAAGCAGCAGAGAGGAGGAGTGGGATACCTACTCAGCTTGAGCAACAGATGATACACAGCATGTGGTGCTTGGAGAGAACATCTGCACAAAGCATGACACTGCTCAGTATCTGGGCCTGTCCCACCCACTCCTATCCAAGTATCCTCCCCCACAGCCATGCTCCCACACAGTGTCAACTGGCCCAGGTGTTTGCTGGGATTGTGATGAAAATGGTCTTCCCCACACACATTTCGAGGACAATCAAAAAAGAACTGAGCTCCCACTCCTCTGTGTCAGCTTGACATTAAACTAGAGGTCACTGTTGGGAATGGTGTCAGTGCCCAGGTAGAAAGGACACATGGCTCAGACGTGGCTCAGAATACAGTAGCTTCATCAGAGCCAGCAGCAGATGCTCCCATTACTCAATACAGGCTCAACGGAACCAGACCTGAGGGAGAGACAGACATCCACAGCTGCAAGAGTGCAGCTCAGACCACCTCACTGCCTCTCTCTATGCCACTGCTGACCAGCCTGTGACATTACAGAAATGATGTCACAACAGAAGCCGGGAAACAGCAACAGCTACAAGAGAAGCAGCAGTAGAAGCCCGTGGCCTATGATGCTGCTGCTCTAAGTATCTGTTACACTCAGAAAACTCTTTGCCACAGGGTAGACTCCCTACTCATCACCACAGTCCCACTACTGCACCCTCTCACCCTCACTCTTTGGACCCTTTGCTATTTCTTCTTCCCTTTCCAAATGAAATGACACTTTGGAAGAACAGAGGAGTCATCCTAATTTGGCAGCAGCATCGATCACCTGCCTGCCAGTCTTTGACCTCTCACAAGTGCCTGCCTGATTGCTTCCTCCTTCCAGTTAGGGTGGGCAAATTAGATCTAAACTAGCGGGTGGCAAGACATGCCACGTCTCCCTACTAAGGAATTTGCTGAGCAAGAAACATTCCCAGGAGCCTAAACAAAGGAGAAATGTGAAGCCTTTTGACTCTCTGGTAGAGTGCCAGCAAGGCTAGGGCGCCCACGCGCAGAAGGGGGGTGATGCTGAGATTCCATGCAGGGCTGGAAAAGGACTCCATTTTATTGGTTAAAAAGGCACCGTGTCTGGATTATCTATGGCTTGTCTGTACATTTTTGGTATAACCTCAGGTGTGAATTTAAACCACTGAAGCTATACCTGGATCAGCCCCTCAGTGGGCACTCTTGTTCCAGTTTATGGTGACCTCCTTTAGGTTTAATTTAGGTCACTTAAGCTGCTCACACTGGGTTGCTGCCTGCATTAAACACCCTCAAATACAGCACTGTAATTTGGGCCAGAGGAGATGCATTTACCAAACCATGGAAACATATGAACACAACCAGGAATGCTCTCTTGCATTAGCAGTCATGGGCTGCCATTCATGCAGTAGGCCTTTGTTTAAGGACTGGTGGGCTGGTGCTGCAGGGAGAGAATTAAAGCACAGCATTGATGGTTTTGACTTTCAGAATGTACATGCTCCCTGCGGTATTTGTGCCGACGTTGCAGACGTTAATTAGAGGTTTTGACTTTCAGAATGTACATGCTCCCTGTGGTATTTGTGCCGACGTTGCAGATGTTAATTAGAGGTTCAGAGGCTGGACGTGCTCTCAGAAGCTGACAGCAGCAGCCCTATCTGTGCCACACAGCTGCAAGACACCATTCTTTTTGGGTGCTGATTTTGGCTTTAGCTGTTGAAGGGCAGATTTCTAACACAGAACAATCATCACTCAGGGCACTTGCTCCAAATGGGATCACAAGCGAGGGGGATAGGATTCTTCACCTAGGGCCTGCCTGTCTTCCCATTAAAATCTATGGGAGCATTGCCACTGACTTCAGGAAGAACCGGGATCAGGCCCTGACACTCTTGCCTGACCAAATAATAGAAATCCCTCCCTCCAAATATTCTATTTTTGGTTATTAAAAGAAAAGGATGGACAACCTGGGGACTAGAAGTTCTCTCTTTACATACAGATCAGGTGCGGCACATCTAGGTACTCCACCATGCAGCGCTCTGGCCAGGCCGGGCCAAGCCAGCTATGCAGGATGGTGGGAGGAGGCTACTTCAGCGAGGCCGGGCCAAGCCCACTGCACTGCGCATGAGAGACAGGGACTGCTCTGGCTGGGCTGGAACACCCCTGCCAGTGTGGGCTCCACTAGTCTGGACCAGCCACCTGTCCACGTCATGCAGGTGCTGCTTCAGCCCACTGGTTAACCGTAACAGGAAAGCATCACCTGCTTAGTTAACCATTGACATCCCTAGTACCTCACCCCGAGCTAGAAAATGCTTCCTATATGAGCCATGTATTTCAGTCTCCATGACTCACCCCGCCTTTGGCATCTCTGAGACTGCCAGTGGTTAAGGGGGCTAACTGTATTAACCGTTTTTGAGACGTGGGCACCTGCCTAGGCGGAAGCGAGCAGACACCCACCACTTGAGTTCACAATGGCCACCAACCTGTAGTCATATCGTAAAAGCATTTAGTTACTAACTAGCCTGGACCAGATTTGAGACAGTGAGCTTCAGGTGTGAAGATTCATGGCCAAACCCCTCAGCCAGCCAGTTCTCTCGCCTGACTCAGAGATACGCACCCCACCTCATCTAAGACCCACACCAGAGTCCCAGTTCTTCAGGGCCTGCCCTGCTGAGGCTACCCAACAGCCATCAGAAGGCAACAGCTTCCCTCCCCTACCAACCTGGGCTCAGTCTGAGCCAGCAAAGGCAGAGATCGGAGCCAGGTATCCCACCACCAATAGCCTGAGATTTGAAGAATAGCAATTGCTACCTTCCACCACAGACTGATTCAGTTAAGTTAAGCTCTGAATAAATGCACCATTGTTCTGGTATCAAAGTACCAACCGCTGGGCTTTATTAAACTGTCCTTAGACTATGGAAAGTCATTACCATAACAGACAAAAGGACAGCACTCCAGCTCCTCCCACCTGTGGTATCCTTGCCACTAGCCAAGGCGCAACCTACTCACTAACAAAACCTGCCCTAGTGTGGGGCTGGGAGAAACGTGGCTCTCTCCTCCAGCAGGGAAACAAAGTTGGCCTACAAAAGTCTCAGGAATCTCTTTTCTGCTCCCCCCCATCACCTGTCACCCCAACGAAGTGTAAGGTGGTTGGTCTGGGCAGCTCATCACCCAGAGACACTCATGTTGTACAGAGCAAGGCAGTGCACAGAAGAGCAGCCTAAACACCTCCTTCCCAAGGTCTTACCTCCGTCTCGGGCCGAGGGATGAAAACTGGGGGTCTCATCTTGAGGGTTAGTTCCCGGAAATCCCACTCCCCAAGGACGTACTGGACAGGCATCCTGCAACAGGAGCGGGTGGGTTACATACCACATTAGGACCAGATACTCCTGTTATAGACAAGCCCCCTGTATTGTAGTCACTTTGTCAACCCCCAAGCCATGGGCACGGACACTGCAACACCTTTCCTCCAGGAGGGGAGAAGGGGGGGGGGGAAATGCCTGGTACCAGTGTTCCCTGTAAGCTGGGCACTTGTGCAGCCACTCAGGGACATTGAAATCCGGCCCAGATGATTAGCTGAGTGACCCCATTTATTCTGCACATGGATGGAAAAAATCCTGGTACTGCTAAAGATCCTTGGCTGTGCAACACAGGGGGGCCTATTAAGGATGGGAGTAGTGCCTCTACTTCCCCTTCCAAGAGAGACTATAGCTTTTGCCAACAACTGAACTTTGGGACCATAGCTTGGTCCTCTGTGGGGCCCCACAACTAACTTCTCTCTTGGAGCAGTGATCACTATTGCATCCTTACCAGGAAAAAGCAACTTGCCACCTTCTCCCAATCAGACAATACCAGGAGCTGGCAAATCCATGAGCACTGGGGCAGTGAGGGGATAATGTATGAAGCCCAGCAGCCACTGACTCATGGGGGCCTCTTCTACGA